AAAACATGAACCTGAAGTTCCAAGTTGACTCGGTAATTAAAGTGTCATTTAGGACTGTCATACAGTATGTGGTGAATTCTATTAAAAGAGCTGCCAGTTCCATTGAAGAGCAAAGCACCCAGCACTTGCAACAAAAGAGAATGACAACAAAAGAAAGACTGTCAATAACAAAGACTGCATGTGTGGGAGGTGGGGAGGGGGATTTGTGTCTTTGAATAATGCTAATAACGTCAAAATTAGTTTTTTTCCACAAATTATTCTTGATGTGTTGATATTTCTAATTTGCTGTTCAATTTGATGGTTTAGGCTCATTTCCAAGCCAGCAATTTAAAACTAATCTTACATTTTTAGTCACCCTGGTTTGTAAGATGTAAAGGAAGGGTGTATCTTTGCATATTGTCCACCAAATTTCTTGCATTTTTTGCTTCTTTAATTAATATTTTTATTTGATAAGAACTATAACCTAAATTACCAATGGGTCATTCCATATGAACTCAATCAAAGTTTCCAAATCCTTCCTGGGTCAAATATATGCAGTGTATTTTGGTTTTATGGCTGTATAGTAACAAAAAAAAGTATTTAACTGCATATTATCTTAATGTGCATATTTCCTTTGCCCATCAGTTCTTTTTATTTAATTTTGGCACAAGTTTTGGGCTTTTTTTCTTGCTGCTACAAGTTGTTGAACTGTTATTAAAGTTCCTGAGTCAGATAAGCTACAGTACAACTGAGTAAGCCACAAAGGCAATCTGTATCTTCTCTATTGGAGCAAAGAACCTAAATGGTGAGGCAGTGAAATCGCACAGCCAGAGTAACTCATGAGGGCCTGTGAACATACAGTTCCACAGAAAGATCAATAGTGTTGTGTCAGACAAAAAGAACATTGCTCTGGGCTATAATGAGGGGAGGGGAGCGATTAAAGGTAAATGTAAGTGAACAAAGACCGCAGTGACTTGTGTGATTACCTCAGATTCAGTCACTTAGAAAAATTCATCTGAGAGATGTCTGAGTAAAGGGGGAAACAAAGACATAATAAAAACTCATTGGTGATTCACCTGGTGAACTTCCTGGACCCCTTCTTTAGATGCAAAGAAACCCCTGCAGCCTTAACTACACTCCAGTCATCTGTATGAGGAGCATAACTCCTGATCCCCAAAGACCACGTCTTATGAGCATGTGGCAATGATTATAGTTATAATGATGATGATGATGACAGTGATGGTGATGAGTATTAGCAGGCTAGTTGGGAGGAGATTTCCCACGGCTGGGTTCAAAACGACAGTGCTTTGTCAGGCTAGACACACCACTTCTCTGACATCCTGTCACTTTGAGAGCTGATCATCTTCTCTTCCTCTTTTCCCCTCTTTTTCTGGGTTTCAGCTCATTGACAGGCTGCTGTCACAGTGCTTCAGAAAACTATTCACAGGTGACAGTGTCTTTTACTCCCTCCATCATGGTCAATCTCACTTTGTCTTTTTTTTCATCACTCACCATCCTCTATATCTGAGCGTTTTGTCTTTCCGCTAAGCATTTTGTCTTTCCTCTGTATCTGAGCACTCTCCTTCACCTGCATCCCTCACCCCTGAATATGTCTCCCTCCCTCTCTCCTATACTCTGCTCCCCCATGGGGTAATTGCTCAGAGACAGGCTTCCATTTTTATGACTATAATCGAGGCCAGAATGCTTATGCCTTTAAATTTCTCCTTGCTTGTGTCACAGAGGCAGTACCAAGCAGAGGAAGGTAGATAAAAACCCTGAGGACTGGAGAAAATCACTGGTCGATTGTAATTAGAGTTCCTATTTTGCCTATGGAAGTGGAACAAACACTATCGCCTGCAGAGAAAACTCAACCTCTATGAAACTCCTATGGCATGAAAATGCAAAGTAGCAACAACACTGCCTTGAGGCTTCACCTTGACCCAAACTATTAACTTCTTTAGGTGGGTCACTCAGACAAAGTTGAACCTGGCACAATTAAAACAAGATAAAGGCTTGGACGAATATCTCCAATGACTACTGTTCCAGCCAGCTCATTAAGGCTTTAACAAGGTACTGAGGATGCTGTGCACAAAGCAAGGTCAGTTCTCATGTGTGTTCAACCCTAATTCAGACAAAATCGGGCTCACAAAGTGTAACTCTCGTTTGTCAGCAAAAAAGGTGGGAGGCAGACAGATTTTTATGTGCAACTGACTTCAACAAAGCGAAAAAATTCAATTGTGTTTTATTTTTTATTTATTTATTTTTTTGCCCGTGAGGTGGTGTGCTGAAACACCCGAGCGGAACCTATGCAACAAGCTGAGAAGTGCGTGCCTGGTATGTACTGACACAGCTTGCAACAACTCTTTGAGCAAACGGGGAGCACACAAAACACAGCATTTCTCGAGTTAGAAAGTCAAACTCTTATTACAAGAAATTATCTTTCAGACTTGGCTCAGGAGCACACATGAAACTAACTGGACAGGGACTTCTTTAAATTAGAACAAAAGGCTATTTGGATGATTGTTTCTTCCTTACTGCTTGAACATCTAAAAACACACACAAACACAAAGGATTTGATTTAGGCTTCTGAACACAGCTCTATTATTGCCATGTAAAAACAAGTACACAATATGTGGCAAATAATCTAGACAAAATAACATCAAAAACTGAATCACGTGATGTAGAAATATCACAAAAGCACAACTTGCCCTACAAAACTGCTTCATGCATACAATTGCTTACAGAAAGTTAACAGGCCTTTGTACATTTTCAGTAAGCGAGCTACATTCCAGCTATCATTTCATCCATACTCTGTTTTCACAGCCTACTGTTGATTTACTAGCCTGGATAAAAATAGGAGCACTGAGGGGCAACTATGGACATGTGTGTACATTAAGTAGAGCTTCCTCTGGACAATATCAGAGCTGACATAATGACAGGCCTTACAATCCTGCAGCTATTTTTCTCCTAGAGAAAATTTTTGAAAAAAAAAATGAATAGACCACCAGTCATCAGTGCAGTGCACTTTAATGACATGACCTCTTACTCACTGATGCCTGAACAATGAATGTTAAGCTAAACAGAAATCCAAAGGGACTAGCTACATAGGATATATCCTGCAGCCCTAATGTGAACAAATTTAATGATTAAACCACACCACGTGTTGATATTTCATACTTTATGGAGAAATGTGTGCCTAAAGATGCTTTATTATTACTGAGTGCTACTTACAATGAGCACCTGCATTCTTTGTAAGACAAAGTCTACAAACTTGTGACCTCAAGAAACAACAAAACTAAATCTAAATGCATAAACACTGTTATAAATGACAAGAGGAGTTTTTGTATAAAATAATAAAAATGCAGAACAGTATGAAATGCAAGCAATATATAAGGACATTAAAATCATGTTGGCAATGAAGCACTTCATTGTTTATTAAAACATCATTTTCTCACCCTATAATTGATGGAAGCAACACAAAAAGTTATAAAATCCTTAACTGGTAAGTAGTACTGACAAAAACAACTGGAGGAATATGTTAAAACTAATGAGTTTAATTGGTAAATGATAGTGCATCGTAACAAAATTCACTGAGGAAAAAAGGAGCCTGGCATTTGTTAGCAGTCAAAACAGACAACAGAAAGGAGAAATATTCAAGCACAGAAACTCGCTGAGGGAATGGAACCATAATATGTTGGTAATTCTGTCCTTGTTTGGGCTTCTTGGGAAACGTTCAACTGTTACTACAATTGTAAGTGAAACAGAAGTTTGTAGAAGAAGAGAAAATAAAAACAAAGAAAAGAATAAGTGAAGGGACTGTACCGGTAAACAGGCCAAAAACAGAAAAAGTAAGACTAGAATAAGAACTTTAGCACGATATGCAGTCATGCTAAAGCCCCAGCCCTAAACATGTGCATACCCACAGCACAGCAGCCCTGTATGTTTACAACTAAAAGGCAATCCCTGGAAGGTCTGCTTCTTAACAATTACAGGAAAACCATGTAAGCCAGAGTGGGAAACAAAACACTCTCACATCTGACTCATGCCTGACCCCTGAAAGATTCATTCTTACTTACCCATTTAGTCGTTTGTCCCATTCCGTACATTGTAAACACAAAAGAACAATCATTTTACACTCTTAACTCTTCAGCGCAAGTTTCTAACTGCTTAGTCATGGTAAAAGCAACAACTCAGGCAGGCTTGCTTTTCCTGCTTGCCTACATGGACGTCTGCTCTAACCGGACGAGCAACTGAAGGATACTTGAAGGAAGGACGTGACATCGACAGATACTCCCTCCTACCTCCTTCCTTGCTTATGTTAACAATACCCACTTTCCAGCAGTCATTTTAAACTGGACTTGTGTCTGCTAATTGATGATAAACAACAGAGCACTTGTTTAAAAAATGTTACAGTGCCTTTTAACTACCAGGAACACTGAAACCCTGAAAAACTTCCCTACCTTGTCTTATGCTGTATTTTCAAATATATATCAATCAGGAGCATTACCAGTGAGATATGGAGTGCGTTTGTGAATGCTTAGAGAAAGTGCATGAATCACAAAGAGTCTGGCAGAGATGGATGAGTCAGAGGGCATGTCCCTTCTCAAGCTCTGAAAAACCCTGCTGGAGTTGAGCTTCCTGGTTGTCCAGTGAAACAAGCCAGGCCATGACCGCAGGCAAGAAACCACAAATATCTTCAAGTCAAGTTTAGTTCAATCCAAAATTTGAAAATAGTCTTGTCTCAGCACTCCACAGCAAATCAAAATGTTTTGTTCACCTGACATGCAATCTTGTAACTACAGGGTGTGTACTAGATGGAAGTTATATTGATACAATATAAATATGACACATATATTAGCAGTTACACAGCAGCCCTGAGCAGCATGACAAGTGAGTCACTAGAAATCTTGGCACTCAATAAATACCATCATACTTAATGGAAAATAAAATCTACCGATGCTTTATACAGATATCACAAGTCAAAGGGGCTGTAAATACAATATCTAATGAAGAAACACTACCTGTTCTTTGACGGAGGCCAGGATGTTATTGGCGGTGTTGTCGCTCTCCATTTTGCGGCCAGTTGAAGCGTCGCAAATGGTCAGCAGAAGCCCCTCCTCCGTCACTGGGCTCTGCTCAGGAGCTGGCATTCCTCCTGTGTGGATACGCACAAATAAGCAATGGTTTGGTCTCCACAGTGGCTCAATTAAACATCTCGTACACAAAGCAGAATACGTACATGCTTGTACAAACACACATCACTCATTAATTTGACTTGATTCAACCCTTCTCTGTTACACATTGGCAAATGATGCTGAGAAGTGACTCTGGGTGGTCACACACGGCACAAGCAGCATACAAACACACACCCACACAAGCCATATGGCCCACATACAGAAGGACTGTCAATGTTTTATGTCAGTGATAGTGCAAATTATTGCCATACGGGCTTGAGACAGCACACAGCTTAAAAAAATTATTTGTGTGTAAAATATTGTATCATAGAAAAATTGAAGCTCAAACTGAACGACGGTTAGTATTTGTGTTGATGACAGAAAAGATGGAATGGAAAAATTAAACTAAGGTCCCCATGAACTTGAGGAAATCCACACATGATGCTTCTATCTGGGCTCTCTAGCCTCCAGCTGGGGACTGCAATGAGGAAATAAAATGAAAAGTTAGATCTCGTGATGCCTGTTGACAGAACGAGTGTGAAGGAAACTCTGCTTAAGGTCGACTCAGATTTAAAGCAGCGCGTTAAGCCAAACCAAACAGCGCAACGAGGACTCTTCAAAACCCAAAGCTGCAAAATCTGATGAAAGCAAGGGATCTAATAACCAAAAAGCGACTTAGATAAGCCTTGCTGCGGTTATCGATAAGACATGAGCACAAAGAACATAAAAGGTTCCCAAACACTTGGAAGGAATATAACTCTGAGGAATACAGGGAGCCTGTCAACAAAACACTGAGAGCTATCCAAGGTGTCTGGGCTGTACAGAGTCAGGTACCAGACCCAGTCTAGAGTAACATAATGTTCTGCTACTACAGAGCATGTTGGTTCACACGGACTGTTCCACAAGTCCCCCTGTCAGTCTCCCAGATTATGTTCTTGTTCATTCATAGTTTTGCACTGGCTGGCCCAAGTCTTTCCCATCATTACTGCCTCTGATTTGAGGACACAACAGTTCAGTTTAAGAAAACAAAGCACATCAAAACAAATACACAGCAGAGTGAGTACAGATTTAAAGGGGACATGTCCTGCTTTTAAATCCTTCCCTTTCACATTTAATTCATTCTGCTGGGGTCTATATAAAGTGGAGCTGCAATGCTTTGGTCTAAGTTTCTTGTTATTGTAGCTCCACAGGCCACTCCTTTCACCCTTGTTCTGAAGTGTGAACTCGTTTTGGTGCAGTCTCTTTTAGGCGCTTCAGACTACACCCCCTCCAGGTTGCAGAGTTTCACTCCACTCTGTTCGGTCATTTTTTGTAGTTTGATAGCAGAGAAATGATTATCTAATGGTGCATAAAATTTTTATTTATAAATTGATTAAAAGGGGAGTAATATGAAAAATATTTTTTTTTTAGCTTTATATCACATTATGATGTCATTTCCTCTTTAAATTCCTAATTTTTTTCAGCCCTGGACTGAGCAATCTTATGAATGAGGCTAGAGACCTATTTCAAAGGGTTTAGATATGGTGCAAAGACAAATTTGTTTTTGATAAAGACAACATTTTCATAACAGATTGATAGTAACATAGTTGCTTGATTGTGGTATAGAACTAAACTATGTGACTAGAAAATACCACGGATTCATCAAAGTGGTTAGCTGGAAGTCTATGACTTTGTTTAGCAAATACTATAACATTATTGTTCAAAAAACATAGTAGTGAATAGAAAACTAAACAGATTGAGAAATATGACCCAAACAGAACATAAAGATATCTATGACATAATTAAATTCAAATTTAGAGACTCAACAAAATGAATTTAAAGGCTAAAAAGTGGATTTTGTACGATATGACCTCTTTTAAATGAATGGAATCAACAAAAACTTGTCAAGATAGATTTTTTTTTTCTGTTATTATGTTGAAGATAAGCAAATGTTGAACTAATATGGTGGCTAGGCTCCAAGGGCGTAACTTTTTACGGAATAAAGAAAACAGCATAAATGTATATATTTGACATAGTAATTTTTGAAATCAAGTCAAAGTTACCTAAAGACAAAAGAATTGCAGCTGTGTACTTAACCAGTTAATTTCTATTGTGTTAAAGCAATTGATGTAATTTTATTGGGGATAATTGCATTATAATCATAGAAAAAGGTCTCAACACCACATTTCAGTAGCATGACATTTTTGGTAAACATATTACACCACCACACACACATACACACACATACACAAACACAAAAAAGACAACAACAACAACAAAAAGACAATGACCAAAATTAGCAAATATTTACAAACTAGAAAATTTGCTAAAAATATCTACGAAAAAGTATACGCAAAATGTCAAAGAAAAGAAAAGCATGCACAGATGTATTCTCGTTGAAGGTACAGTTAAAGCAGAAAAAGAAACCTACCTCCGACATTCCCCATTATATTTGATCCAAAATGATTGTTTCCTGCTTAAATTAAACTTCACAGAAACTTTAAAACGGGAGTGAAAACACTGACGCGACTGTCTACTTGCCACAGTCCTATAAGCAACATACCCGGTACTCGTTCTATGACATTTCTCTTCATTTCACCCCAACACAAAAGGGACAGAACCCTGCTGAAAAGTCTCAAGGTTAAAACTTTGGTATGTCAACTCCTTCAACTCTTCAAACTGCAAAACAAGAAGCTGGTAAGAAGCTGTGGATGTGGGCTCATTCTGTACAGGTTTCAAGGTTGTCATTAGATTAATGACTAAGGAACAAAATGTGTAGTTCCCAGAGTAAATATGACCTCACTCTGGTCAAAACAAAGTGTTCCAAATACCACTATTATGGCTACTTCTTTTGAGAAAACAGAAAGACAAACGTATGGAAAGAGAATGAGGCAATGGCAAATGATTTACAAGACATATTTCATTCAGTGTCGTAATTTGTCTGTCTACTCAGAATGCTATAAAAAGCATCTCTTTTACTAGATGCTAAATCTCCCTTTTATAGGAAAATAATCCTCAGTCTTTCAAGTCTCCCAAAAATGTCTGAGCCTGACCCCACCCTAATTCACTGGATCACAAGATCTGATCTGCTGGGCCCAAACTTGGCCACTCCTCTGAGGTTTTTAAACAACACCCCCTTTTTTGTGTGAAACTGCCTCCCCACCTAAACGTGCTGCACGACAGAGGGTAAGGGGGGTGGGGGGGGGGGGGATCTGTAACATGTAAAATCTTGCTTAAAATCTATTTAATGGTTGCACCAGTGATAACAGTTGAGACATGTTTAAATTCTGCCATATTCCAATAGTTTCATCAGAAGACATGAATAAGATCCTAACAAAATGCAACCGTGCCGTGTACCACCTTCTCAGAGCTCTGCAGCAGCAGATGTAAAATCTAATACAGGCCTCCTTTAAAAACACACAAGGAAAAAATGTTCCACGGAGAAATCACGGTAAAGGAGGAAAGTAGGAGTGTTGACATACAAGACTAAAAAAATACTTTTTTATGTGCAGCTGGTCAGTATGAACCTTTCCCCCAGAGCACACTTAAGCCAACGCTGGATATTTAAATGCTTGATAGATTTACAGTGCTAAAAAAACTGTTCTTCTTTGGTTGAAAGTGCAGTCAGTTCAAAAGGAAGATAGTATACACAACACATTCAATTCAAATGTTGTACAAATCAAAAAACTAAATAAAAATACCTAATGAAAAGTTCCATTTAGCCCTTATTAAATCTTTACGCTGATAAATAGGTGAACCACAAGACACCCAAATATACAAACAAATCCAAAACACATTTTTAAATAAAATTATAAAAACTCATAAAAACACTTTTAGCACCAAGTAATAATCGTCAGTTCATTAAGGTTTGTAAGGCCCTAAAACGAACAGAATAGCTATACATTTTAAAAAGAGAAACAAATACTTTCACAACCCTCTGACACACCACTGGTTCTTAAATTATTTAGTGACTGGGCAGCATTATGTGCCTTCAAATGTATTGTGTGGAAAAATAATGCCCCCATTACTAATCTGTTGGTAGCTACAACAAAATCCCAAGAAACTCATTATACGTGGTTATTTATTCCAGTGTATTGACTTTTCTGATAAAACCAACTATTTTGGTCTTGTAGAATTTATTAGAATTCAACAGGATGAATATATACCTATTGCAACCATTTTATTTGGAAACAAAAATATGAAAGCAACTCATCAACACAAAACCTTCAAACACGTTTTCAGTCAGGTCACACGTGTTCAGCAATTCTCTGCTGAGCACTTCCTAACATTTAGGTTAGAAAAATACCAAAGGAAGTCCTGAAAAAGTAATATTGTAAGCAATAAAAACACAATTACTGTAAGGAAAATGATAACATCTTAATGCACTCCAGATGGACTTACCAGCATTAAAAGGCAAAAGACATTTGACTTTCTGCTGTTCTCAATAGCTGAAAATATGTTTGCCCATACTGACATCCAAAAGCAAAAGATTGCCTCTAAGAAACAGCCTCTTCACAAGCATTCTGTCAATGATTACCCCTAGTAGATCTAAGAAATTTGTGTACTCCCTTTTAGATCGACACATACCTGTCATTCTGTTGATTTAAGATTAAACCATGCGAGACATATGAGTCTATGTTGGGTGGACACAATAGTCTCAGTCCATCTTCTCCACAGATCAATGAGGAAGAAAGGAAAAGGGAATCATTTAGAAGCTGCACCCATGCTTACGTCACACTTTGAACCTCACTCCACAAATGTTGTAATAACCTGGGAGCTATGTGAGCATGTGTCCACTGGGCAGGACCTGTCCCTGATAAAAAGGCAGGAAATACAATCATCCGGCGGTGCACCACACTCTAAAATGTGCTCCTAGCATTTAATCTTGCAAAATATGTTTACTCAAAAAGGACGTTAGAGAGATGACTCCACTACCAAACAATCTGTGTTTGCGTTGCGCAGCAGTATATCTTTCTGTGAGCAAATTCCAACTGAGATGATT